GCAGACGATCTACAAACCTTCAAACATAATTAGTGAAGTCCGTTGAGAGTACAGGTGATCATGAGCTACCGAAGGTCTGGAAGGCCAAAAAATGTGCCTTGTAGGATTTAATGGGCTCGACCAAGTAGATTTATGATAAATTGGCCAGGTATTGTCATAATATGAGAACAGTTAATCTTGACTCGACATTTTTTATTGAGAAGGGGGAGAAAATTGCTCAAGTTTTTCTTCACAGATCTTGGACAATGCATTTGGGTCGAAATGCAATGCTCTAATACTAATCGATGGTACATCTACGAAAGCTAAATACGAAGGTAAGTTGATTATTACTACATGTCAAGATACCAACATTTAAATATATTCTCTTATATTCAACATAGTTGATAGCGAGAATGATCTGTCTATGCTTTGATTCTTCGAAAAGTTGAGGAAAGTAATTGGAGAAGTCAATGAGCTTACCTTTGTAATTGATCAAAGACTATCTATAATAAATGGTATCATTGAAGTTTTTTTCGAGGCACATTATAGGTATTAAATGTACCATATACAAGGTAACCTAAAGACTAGATATGGGGCAAATGCATCATTTCATTGTTAAGGAGAGCGACAGAAGCTTACATTGTTAAAGAGAGTAATAAATTCATAATTGAAATAGAAAGTAAATCATTTCTAGCATGAGATTATTTAAAAAGAATGAGAATTGAACATTGGGTACAGTCACATTTTTCAGGACATCGATACCACATGATGACATAAAAAAATACGGAGTCTCTCAATAAATTATCAAAAAGGATCAAGAGTTACAAATCTTCACTATAACAGTGATTTTCACGATCAACGTGTAGAATCACAGAGTTGCACAAGCGTGCTAGCTCTGGCTTAGGATAAACTCTTTAAAGTTGTAGAGGTTTTGAGAAAGTTAAATATGGAACCACCGGATGAGTTGCGCTTCTCTGTAAAATGTGTACATAATATCGCATTTATGGTGGACTTTACTGATAACACCTGCCCTTGTAGTGAATTTCAGTTAGAGACTTTTTCATATGAGGATACAGTCGCAATAGCTATGTATAGAGGCTTTGCAATTAGAACTTTACACTTTCCTTATTACACGACTGATTATTGGAGAACAATGTATACTGAAACTATATTTCCTCTACCGAATAAAGTTGAGTAGGAAGTTCCTAACCATATTTTTCTATTTAGTAGTTTGTTGCTACCCGAAGTTAAACTGTGTGGTCATAGATGTCAACGTACGTCAAGAACATCATCTATTGAAAAGTTTGACAGCGTAGGTGCGACAAGTGCAGAGCAACAGAGAATACTTGTCAATTTGTACAAATCAGATTTCCTTAAATAACAATTAGACAGATTGTAATCTATGGTTGTTAATCTTCAATTTTCATGTTTCGAATCAACTACTAAAAAGTTGCAATTAGGTCTCCATACTTTTTATTTTCATACAATATTCTACGGATCATAATTAGATTAAAAAAATTAAATGAACAATATTTACATTTTTTTAATAAAAAATATACGACTTGAAATTAAATAATCAATATTTACATTTTCAGATAAAACAATATAAATGTGCTACAGATCACAATTGAATTGATACAAATCACACAAAACCCTGATCATTCACCTCCATCGATGGCGTCAACTCAATTAGGACTTCAAGCTGACACATTAACATTTTAACTACTTAATGATTATGTGCTGAGATTTTGAAACGACGTATAATATAAATCGCAAATATATAATACTTACCTGAGAATTATCGACGAGAGTTGATAATTGTCAAATAGACAATCATCTGCTCAAGGACGTTCGTCAATGATGCATCTGAAAGTAACGTGTCTCCCATCTTATTACAAATCGGGTGCTCTAGAGGGGGACGGTCTCATATGTTCAGATCTACAACACATACAATTATTATATATAAATTTAGTATTAAAAAATTGTAACATTGATTATGTTAAACATTTTCCTACATCATCAATTGCAATCCAAAAGTATCGTACTTGCGCAAGGGCCACTTGGGCTTTGATGTGATCGCATGGATACATGAAAATATTTTTGCCCTAAGGGTAGCTGTTGAAGGCATCGATGTCGTCAACAACCTCCAAATAGAAAAAGTCAATTGCAGTCTTTTTGTGATGACACATCATCACGCTCTCAAGGATATAGATCAATTCCAACTTCAATATGTCCAACATTTGAAACAATCAACTGCGGTAGATGCACATTCCCGATCTTTGAAAATATGCATCGCATAGCCTATTGTTTCTTTGAGTATCGTTGCTCACTACTTCATCAGTCACAATCTTTAGTTCAATTATAAAAAGTCAAACTCAAATATAGAAAAACTAGCGACCTTGCCTCGAGGCGAAGTGGAGTGCATCGTCATCGACTGGCCTGAGCAACCGATATAGAAATGCATCAATGATCTGTCTGAAATACAGATTCAGGGGCCACAAGAAAAAGTGGCATAGCATATATTTGTGCTGACCATGAGCAACTCTAATAAAGTACTAATATTGTCGAATCTACTGTTCCAAGTACATTTCTTAGTCATCTGTCTCAATTAAGTATCGAAACAGTACTCCGTTCTACAAAAATTCAAATGTTAGAACCTTCTGCAAAAGATAATAGAATAAAGCATATTCTCATAAATTTAAACAAACTGAATTGTAACTATTATACACAAGAAATAAATTCATTTCACATCGACGATAAGTAAAACAAAAAAAAAATTAATAAAATAAAGGTAAAAACAAAAATAAGAGTTATAGAAAAAATTGAAAAATAAGATGAATTAAATTAATAAAAAATTAAAATTAAGGAAAGAATATTAGACGTCCTCGGCCCTCTAACTAACTCTATTCTAATGCAATCCTAAAATCTAAATGCAAATACAAAATGTCAAATTAAAACAAGAGATCGAAAATGTGTTGTCTTTCATTAAGCTTTAAAGTCACCGATTTTATTATTTATTTTATTTTTTGCAATGATCACATCAAAAAGACTTCAATCGAATTAAATCTTTGCATTAAATTGAACACGTTGAACGTAGCTCTTTCATTTTACACCTTCAAGATAAGTCTACTTTCTCCATTTCAATTTAAACCCGACTAGTTTCTAAGAACACTCTATGCAAAATTATCGGTAGACTCGAATCTTCTTCAATATCTAGAACAATGAAATCGACTAGAAAAATGACCTCGTCCGCTTTTATAAGCACATCTTCCAACACACGTTAAGGGTATTTAATAGATCTATCTGTCAATTATAGTGATATCGTGGTCGTCTTCATCTCAATCAAACCAAGCTTCTTATAAATGTACGAAGATAGTAAGTTAATGTTAGCACGAAGATATATAAATAATAAAGACTAAGTCGAAAAATAACAAACGTGCTATGCTGCAGCATACACACTAGGGGTGTAAGCGGTCCAATTTTTGATAGATTTTCAAACTAAACCGTTTAAAACGGTTTGAGAAAAATTCAAACCTAAACCAAACCATTTTGAACGGTTTGAAAAAAACTCAAATTTAAACCTAACGGTTTGGTCCGATTTTAAACCGCCGATTTTGTCATATATTTTTTTGCCCGTCTACTTTTATGTCATTAATTCATTGAATTTAATATATATTTATATCTCACTAGTAATAAATCTAAAACAAACTAAGCCCCTGTTTGAACCAAATTTTTGGGACAAAAAAATGAAAATTTGGACCGTTATTCCACAAGTCCAGCCGTTTTTGTTGACCTGCTATTTCATGTGTGGGACCCAACCTCCTCTCCAATAGTCAATTTTCTCATTATGATGATATAAAAAATATGGCTCAAATAAGAGCTAAATATATCTACTATAAATTTAAATAACAACTAAATCAGAGTGAAATCACAATAAATTAAAACATAATTTTTTTTTTCATTTTTGTTCACATTTTTTAGGCTAATGATGATACAATAACATTAAAATATAAGTCTACTAAACTAGATATAAGGTTCAAAAAACATAATGATGTCTAACAAGATCTCGTGATCATCATATCTGAAAAAAAAATACTGATTAAACAAAGAGAATTACACAAGTTTACGTTTGTATGATGTTACGAAACACATTTAATTTCAGATTCTTATCTTAGTTTGTTTCAAAAAATTATTGATCTGAAACTTTATTTGTAGCAAATATTATTATTGAAGGTTTAGAATCTCTTTGTTTCCGATTTAGTATAATAGACTTCAATTTAACTTTGAAGATGTATGAAAAATCTAAAAGAGAAGTGTGTGGTGTCGGTGGCTCAAAACTATGTTGGGTGTCGACTGGAGTTTATCTAAATTTTGAAGAGGAAATAAGTTTTTGATAGATTATGTTAGTTTTGAAATTATTAAATATATATTAGGATTATTGGATGATGATGATGATGATGATGATGATGATGATGATGATGATGATAATAATAATAATAATAATAATAATATATCTGTATTAGAAAATTAGGAATTGACAAAAATATCCACAAATGACAAAACTATTGAATTTTACATATTTGGATGAATTCTCAAAAAAAATCATTTTTTTATTTTTATATATTTTTTCGCCGGTCCGATTTGATTTTAAACCGCAATTAAAATTCTCAAACCCAAACCAAATCTTTTTAACCGGTTTGATTTGGGTCAAAACCATTTCGTTGACTGGGTCCACGTAGCACCAAACCGATGGTTTTTAAAATGTGGTTTCAGTTCGATTTTTCGGTTTTACGATTTTTGCTTACAGTCCTAATACACACAATAGTGGGAAAGTATTTTTAGGTATTTTTTATTCACGTGGGTCTTATGCGTTATGTGAGTGTCGGTCAAGGGTTCCGTCAACCCTTTTCTAGCAACTCAGCATAATTCGAAAATTAATTGACAAGTACAAAATAAAATTAATATTTTAACCTATTAAGAATGCTTATAAATAAGTTTTTGAGCCCAAATCTCATAACCCCAAGCCCAAACAGAAAAATAACCCATGCATTTACCCTTTCCAAGCCTAGACGTATCATCCCTTCTCTCTCGCTTCTCTCTGTCGACTCTGTCTCTACGCTATCTACGCTCTGCCGGCTGCACGCCTATACAAGTATACGGTATACGCGCCCTCAATTGTTTAAGTTAAACTCAATTTCTGGGAATCAGCTTCTTCGTTGTTCAACGATAGGCTTTTGTAAGATTTATTTCTTCAGAGTTTTGAATCTTTGATGCCTTTAAAGGCGAGTCATGTTGCGAATTGGGAAAAAGGGCCAATTGTTTAAAAATTTGGGATGATATGTGGCTGTTATTTTGCTAAGTTATGGTTGTTAAATATTTTACCTATTTCTTTGTATGAGAATACTATTTGATTTTGTTAATCGTTTTGTGTGTGTGTGTGTGTGTGTGTGTGTGATTTTGATAGTCGAATTAAATTCTAGGATATGGTTGTTCAGATGTTTAAATTCCTTTCTATTATGTTTCTAGTGTTCTAAATTTCTCACCTGCTATATGTAAATTATATGCTTCGTGAAATTATATTGACCATTTTGGAGTGGAAAGCTGAAGCTAACTAATGACATGTTTGGATAGTATTCATTCTGTTTTAAATTGATCTCTGTACTTTGGATTAAGTTACGTAAATTAAATTAATCAATTCATAAGTGAACTGGGTGAAATGGTAGGACAATATATGGGATTTTGAATCTTTGATGGCTTTAGAGGCTTGTCATTTTGCAAATTGGGAAAGAGGGAAAAAGTGCCATTTTTTAAAGTGGAAAGTTATTCAATTTTTTTTTTGAGATGACCTTGGGACAAACATAGATAATTGGAGAAATAGCATCCTTTTCTTTCAGAATAGTGATGTACAGGGATCGTGGTGAATAGGTTATTCACTGATATATTGAGATGACGTCGGGATAAAAATCATATAATTGGTGAAATTACATCATTTTCCTTTGGAATTTGAAACTAAATGCTTGGACGAGCTTGTTTTGCTGTGCTTAAGACTCTCTTTCCATGCGAATTGGTTTATACGTGTCCAATATATATGCCTGTGCACGCAATTAAACAATAAAGTGAAAGAGCCCCTGGATCCTTAATTCCTGGATTTACCCCTTGTGGTACGAAGATGGTTAATTATAATGCAGATTATGACCAAAATACAAGAAAGTTTGTATAATTATAACAATTATTTTTTGTTTTTCCATTTTATTGGCAGTGCAAAGATGGTTCTGTCAGATGAGGAAATTGCACGGCTCTTCAGAATCAGGAAGACGGTGATGCAGATGCTGAGGGATAGGGGTTACACAGTAGGTGATTTTGAGATTGATATGTCGAAGCATCAGTTCCTTAGCAAGTACGGCGAGAACATGAAGAGGGAGGACCTCATTATCATCAAAGAATTGCGTAGCAATCCCTCTGAAAAGGTCTACTTTTCTTTTATGTGGAATTTTTTTTTCTTTTTCATCAGGTTTAGATGGTCGGAAGTTTGTTACCTTGAACTCGAATATTAAGCTCTAAGTTGCATATATGAACACATATTGTGAGTTTGATTAGGTGTACTGTCAATATGCACTCTTTAATGCATTACAAATCTGAACAATGATGGAACAATGGACATGCTGTTGCTGTCTTTAATCTGGTTGCAATATTGTTGAATTATAACTGAAATTATATAAGCAGATAAAAATTTTGTGGATTTCTCTAGTAGGTATTTTTTGTTTTCTTAAGCTGTGCGATTCTCCAAGCGTCTTTTTTTTTTCCTTGTAATTGCAGCCTTTATAGTGTTTATTTCTCTCTGGTTATTTATTTATTATTTTAGTTTTTGCATTTTGTTATCTTCAACTCTTGGCTTGTCATGCTCCTAAATTCTCTATGACGATTGTGAATGGACCACAATAGAGACTTATATGAGTTAACTTGTTAAAAAGTACACGATAGGAGGGGATTACATATTTGACACTGTGAAAGTGGATTTCTGTCTGGTAATGGGGTGTTCTTGACAAGTCATTTAAACAGAGAGCGAATACTTTGCGTGATGTTTCAATGAAAAGACGTGTAATTGCTGAAGAAGAGAACTCAAGAAGGAATAGATAATTAGATAACTTGTGGCTGTTGTCTCTTCTTTATCTAAGAGGGTTTATGGTTTCTTACCTATTAGGGATCATACTCTTTTTTTTTTTTTTTTTTTTTTTTTTTTTTTTTGTAGTCTGTAGGTTCTTAATTTTGGAAATGTAGAGCTTGGTTGTATAACACGGACGAGCGTAGTTAGAATCTTTCTCCACTAGTTGTAAACTCCTGTATGCTCAGTAATAAAGTAATGGAAGGATCAGAAATTTCAAAATAACTTTCAAGAAGGGAAAATGACTTGATAAATCCATAAACATTGTCTAACGTTTGGCCATTAGAAAACAAGTGCTCCCTACTTTCATCAGCCAAAAATAAGTTGTCATATCTATTATGCCTCAAGAAGAAAAAGGAAGTTTACAGCACCAATGTTATTTTCCCCATAAAATAAATGGATGTCATTTTTGTCTGTCCAAATACCATCAGTGGCTGCAAAGAGCAATGCTGTATGAAATCTTAGTAGAACTGCGAAAAAGAAGATGGAATTTTGGGTAGAAGTTCTAAAATGTATGAAAATAGTACACAGTTGAAATGATAAAGAAATCAAAGATTTGCATGTAGCATTCATGAGAGTTTGGAGCCATATTCAAAACAATATTGAATGCAAAAGCAAGCATAGAACTGATGAATGGAAACTTACCTGTGGGATGTATACTGGCCAGAAATTTTAATGAATATTACTGCAGTTAGAGAAATAGAAGTGGAGAGAGGGAGATTCAGTTGAAAGCATAGAATAAAAATTATCAAGAATCCATTATCTTGAACTAAATGCACTTTCCAGAGTGCTTCACTTTAACTGGGCAGCACACGACTCTGATGTTGCACGCTTCTATTGAGAATATAATTGCTATAAAGGATTTATATCATAAATGCGGTTGTTCTCTATTTTATTTTATTTTATTTTTATTTTTATTTTTATTTTTATTTTTTGGTGAGAAGGGTTTTGTGCCTTTGATATGTTGGGTGGCATTCTTAGATACTGGTTTATCTTGAACTTCTTTGATTGCTTAAAACTTCATTACTGTGATTGGTGTATTTGTAAGACTATTGTTCATGTGAATCTAATTGAGAGTAACCTGCTTTGTGATTTAATGTTGTTTCTTTTTGGTATTCAAAAAACTTGTGATAGAAGATGTCTTAGGCAACCTATTTACTAGTTTACCTTGGCTTTCTTTTCTGTTTTATCACCAGATATACGTGTTCTTTCCTGAGGAGGCAAAGGTTGGTGTTAAGACAATGAAGACTTATACCAATCGCATGAAAGATGATGATGTTCATCGAGCGATCTTAGTTGTCCAGCATAATTTAACTCCTTTTGCTCGGACCTGTATAAGTGAAATATCTACAAAATTTCACTTGGAGGTTTTCCAGGTGATTATTGTTACTTTCTTCGCATTACCGATTTCAGTTTTTCTATTAGTGGGGATAGTTTATTGGTCAGACCTTAGGTTTTCTCCCCAATGGTTACTAATTCGAGTCTTCTTAGAACCACTGAGATGAGTACCTGACTGTAAACTTCAGGGTCCCGTGGAATTAGTCGAGATGCACATAAGCTGATCCGGATATCCACGGTCATAGAAAAAAATTTGTTCTTTTTCTATTAGTCTTCAAGGATATAAATCAGTGGGATGGAGACGTCATGTGCAAGTTTTCTTATAGTTAATATACATATAGGTTTTTATAAAACAAAGTCCCTAACCTATTTTTTTGACAGGAGTGTTCCCCAACTATTTTTGTGTGACCTTAGTTCCAGTAGACATATTCCGTTGACCATTAAGTTCCAATTTTCTGTAGGAAAAATCATTATATCCTTACTATTAGTTAAGGGGAAAAGTGAACAAGGCTTTCAATTCCATATGCTAAAATAGAATCTATCACTACATTTCTACACGAATAGGAAAGCAATTTATCTTGTGTCAAATTTGTATGATAGATGGAGCAGATAGATTCATCATTCAATAAAAGTTCCTCCTAAAAATCAATCTAAAAACAGAAGAGAAGAAAAGAGAGAATACAATTATTTTAAGAAAGCAATAATTTTTCCAACCAAAACGTTAACATGGATTGAATAGAATTACTACACGATTTTACTTAGATTAGTATTTGACTTTGATTGATCAGGCATAGCTTTTCTTGAGATTCTTCACTTTGTTGGATCTGGTGTTGTGGTAATGCTGGGGTGGTTTTTGATGGAGGGGAGAAGGAAAATGGATGGGGGAGGCTAGAGGAGAGACAACAATATAGATTGAAGAAAATGGACCCAGCAGGTCCTTGAAAAGAAGAAGCTACCAGCAGTGGTTGGGTGGGTTTGATGGAGATGACGAAAGTGAATTTGTTCTGTTTCTTTTTTAATTATATCTGTTAAACTAAAAGTAAGGTGTAATGGCCTTTTCCGCTGAAATTTTGACCTTCTAATGGTCAAATAGACAGATATTGGGACTAAGAAATAGACAGGTTGAGGACTATGATGCTCCAAACACTATAGGTTGGGGACCAAATCTGCAATTTTCCCTTCTTTTTATAAGTTCAAAGGAATTTAAATGACTTGCAGAGGCTTCAAACTGAGAATCCTTTCATTGCTCTATCGATTGCTTTAGTTATGCCTGAATTTTGCTCTTAAAAGTTATTGTTTTTAAACAACTCGTTTATCATTGTATAAGCACATTTTGAATTCTGGAGCGAATGTCGATGATGCTGATGTCTACTAACTGCCAATGATACAGGAGGCAGAGTTGTTGGTCAACATAAAAGAGCACGTTCTTGTTCCTGAGCACCAATTGCTTACCCCTGAAGAAAAGAAGTCTTTGCTAGAAAGATACACTGTGAAGGAAACACAGGTTTGGGAAAGTCTTTTATTCATTCTCCTCACATCTTTATTCTTTAGTTTTAGTGAACAAAGAATGGGTCCAATTTCCTTTGAGCTTTCATTTTGATTCTAGGCTTGGACTTGTAGCGTGTTTGGCTAAAGCTTAGAAAGTTCAGTTACGAATAAATGAGCAAGTTTCAGAATAAGTGATCTTATTTTTTTTTTCGAAGGAAGGAAATGACGGCCTGTTTGGCTAAGCTATTAAGCAGCCTTTTACATGCTTATTTGGACAGGGCTCACAGCCTTAAAGAGCAAAAAAAGAAGTAACTTAAAAGCTTAGCAGAATATGTTGCAAGTTGACAGTAAAGTAAGAGTTACTTTCAAATAAGTAACTTTTTTACTTGAAAGTTATCCAACATGTTTGGATACTAATATACTCTACATTTTCTTAAGCTTAGCGATAAGTTATTGATAACTTGAGCATGTTGGGGCTAAGCTTAAAAAGTTTGCTTGTAAGCAGATACATTTTGAAACAAATATTTGTTCTTGATCAAAATTGCTTATTTTTACAGTAATATAAAAGTTTCCACTCAGAACAAGTAACTTTGATTTCCTTGAGAGAAAAATAAGTTATCCAAACATGCTTCAATCGTCCATCAGTGTCCTGTATTCAGGGTGTTTTCCGTATACTGGGAATTTATTATGCACATTCACAATTTGGTTTCCCTTGCTAATATCAATTGATGCTGACAAGTACTTAATTTTGTTTTCAGCTACCCCGCATTCAGGTAACCGATCCAATTTCAAGATATTATGGCCTGAAGCGTGGACACGTCGTGAAAATTATCCGACCAAGTGAGACTGCTGGACGTTATGTAACTTACCGATACGTAGTTTAAATCTTATAGCACTGTAGTTTGTTTGTCATTCCAAAGAGTTGAGGGACTCTTTTTTTTTTTTTTTTTTTTTGTTGTATGGTTAACTAGAAGTATAAAAAGGAAATAAGTTAAAATTTTGCGTATTTACGTAGTTTAAATCTTATAGCACTGTTGTTTTTTTGTTATTCAAAAGAGTTGGGGGACTTTTTTTTTTTTTTTTTTTTGGTGGTATGGTTAACTAGAAGTATAAAAAGGAAATAAGTTAAAATTTTGCGTATTGTATAATCTAGTGTGATCAATTACACAACACTGCTGGAGTAACACTAATAGACATGAAACACGACATGCCTCAATGATGAAAACTAACTAAAGCTTGCACATCTGACACTCAAAATATGAAGGTTCTATCTTCTAAAAATGTTAAAAAATTAAACTACTATTTTATAAGAAAAAGATACCATTGGAAATTATATAACAATCGTGCTCCGTGTCCCCAAGCCGGGACAGGGGGTTTAATCCATTATATAAATAGATGGACGTAGTGATGGGATGATTTAAAAATAGTTATACATTTTTATTTATATATATTTATCGAAAGATAAAAAGGCTTATCCATGTGATCGTACAGCACAAAAGATTTGGTTTCTTAATTTGATTCAACTTCTTCTTGAAAAGTAATTAAGATGTAAATTTTTACCTAATTTTTTGGGCTAATATCCAATATTTCATCTACAAGCTTAGAGGGAACTAAGGGAAGCTTAGAAAGGCTCTTTCGGAGAAGTACATATATCATTCAAAATAAAAGAAGTCTTAAGAGAAGAAATAATCATATTCTTTACAAGTTTTAAAGAAACTTTTGATACAAAACACATAATCCTACATCAATTTTATACATCTTTTTTCGGGTTGAAGGGGAAGAAAATGATCAGATTGATGAAGAACTATTGAAGGAATTCGAGATTCAAAATTGATTTTTGTTACGTGTTGTCATACTTGGCCAACCTACTTGGGCGTATGGCCCACTCAATCTGAACCACGTGGCACTGCATCCAAGATGGCATGTATGGCTGAGGCCCTTTATGCCGAGGCCCATATAGCGAGGCCTGTGAAAGTAGCCGAAGTCCATATGCCGAGGCCCATGAATCGAAACCATGATGCGAGACCACCGAAAAGATGGCCGAAGTCCTAACGCGGAAGTATTACATGAGTGGCAGAAGCCCTGAATCCGAAGCCGAAGCAGAAGCAGAAGCCTCCGAACCATGAAGGAACATCTTCCATGATCACTTCTCCCAAGGGATCTTCTACATAAAGATCTTGTTTGAATGATTGATGAAACGTTTGTCATAAGTTTACATGTCAAGTCTTGTCATTAGCATGGGGGTTTTGCATAAGCAATAAATGCGCAGCAAGCTAGCAAGTCAAGGATGATGCCTACGATTAGATGTTTGGATTAAAGAGATAAGGCCACGTGCCACCTCATTCAAGGGCTGCGATTTCACATATACCACTATAAATACTTCACTTGTGTAACATTAAAGGGCTAATGCAAGAATTAATACAAGAAACCACACTTTACTCTCTCTTTATATTATCTTGTAACACAATACGAATTCATACATATTTACATGCACATTCAAGATCATCGATTGGTAGTTATTGTACAATCGGATTACGAACATCCCGCTGGATTCTGAACGTTCTCGTCCCGTGTCGTTGAGCTACTCCCACGCCCCTGATCCGTTCGTCCTAGACCGTCCATGTGTCTTAGCGTGTAGGACCTTCGCTCACGTGTACGCGGGTGGGTCCGACATCTATTGACAACATTTTTTAGGGTCAACAGATTGGCGCCGTCTGTGGGAAACCATACCATAACCACGAACAACCTTGTGGTAAAAACTTATTAAAGAGCATTTGGGCATCCCCCTTTAAAAAAGAATTTGTCCTTGAAAAAGAACAAGAGGAAGCCACACAACTTAGCAAAATTTGAAGAGTCTGACGAAAAGAAAATGAGTTCAAACGAAGACACACACCCCAGGAGAGTAAGAGAAAACGCAAATGTATCTCCTTCACCCGCTGCACCAGCAGCTCGGCAAAGACTCTACCACCACCAAAAAAGAGTTGGAATGCAGGCGATGGCACGGTTGTCCAGAGAAATGGCTGTCATGGCGGCCAACATGAGGGATATTGCTAGTCAAAACTTGGCTATGAGGGAGCTCATAGCCCAAATACAGGGTCAGGGAGGCTTCTCCATTCTTCCATACGTCCCTTAAGGGCACTACCAGCAAGAAGATAAAATTCAAAGTCATAGAGCTGCCTCGCCGGACTATAGTCGAGGTGGAAGCCCATTTGAAAGGGAAGTGGAAGTTGATGTTTCCTCCAACTACGCTTCTGGCTGACCCATTGAGATCCAATTGAACCATGATAACTTTCCACTTTCGTATGAGCAAGAGTCAAGACATAGGAGGGCAGACAGTGTATTTGATAGAATTAGCCCCGCTGAACCGAGGCTTAGGCAACAGCAGACTCACCAGCCTTGGACAAGGCTACCGCCTTCACCTCCACCTCCAATGCCCCAGCAGCCGAAAGAAAGGCATGAAAATGCCCCTCGTGTTGCTCTGCCTAGAAATAGGTGCTAGAGGAGGGAGGAAGAGGCTAGGAACCATCCCGGAACTTCTCACCAACCACGGTATGAGGTCGATGAATACGATTCATATGAGCAGGAGAGGTCCTGTCACTTGGACGACGACGATGAGAATTTGCCGTTCTCAAGGGAACTAAGGAGTACCCAGGTTCCAAGCCACTATGTAATGCCAAAGATACCAAAGTATGATGGAAGAGGCGACCCAGAGAAGCACCTGAATGCTTATAAAACTCACATGAGCCTAAGGGGTGCCACCCCAGCTGTGAAGTACAGAGCTTTCCATTTAACACTTAGTGGAGCGGTTGAAATTTGATATAGTAGGTTACCACCTGGGAGCATAAGAAGTTGGCCCGAGTTCAAGACAACATTCTTGAAGAGGTTCGCGGTAAGCAAAGAAGGAGAGGCCCCCATCCAACGTCTCCAAGACATGAGACAAGCACATGGGGAGTCCCTAAATAGCTTCCTATCATGCTTCACCGATGAGATGACATATTGCGTGCAAGTCATCGACCGTGAGGCACTATCCAAATTAAGGAGAGGTCTGAACATGAATACCCTATTCTGGAGGGATGTGCAAAATCAAGATCCCACCACCTATGATGCCCTATTCGAGATGATGAAGAATTGATTGAGCATAGGAACATGGCAAGTAGAGGCCTCCCACCTCCTCAAAGGCAGCGTGCTAGAGGGCCGACCTCCCACCTGATGGACTACCAAATGAACCAGGTTGGAAATGAGAGTTCTGACCAAGCACTTGCCACCACCACTTTGAACACGGTTCCTACCTTGGTATATTAGGATATCAACTCAATTACTGACACCCAGCAGATGGAAAACCCACAAGGATACCATAGGGGGAGAGGCTGAGGCCGGAGTTCGGGACCTAGAAATAGGTCAAACCAAAACCCACCAAGATACTGTACACACCACCGGTCCTATGGACACGACACAGCGGATTGCCAAGACTATGCGCACCGCTCCCGGCTGGAACTCCCTAGGGACAGAAATGAATCGCCCCAAACGAACAGGCCCCTGCCCATGCACGACAATCGACGTGGGCGTGAGGAGGCTACTCCCCGTCAAAGGGATGTTTCCCCACGATGAAGGAAGAGTGATACGGAGAGACCCAGGGAAGGGCATAGGCACTGAAGAAACTGACAAGCCCAGGATGAGGCCGCTATTCACGAGGTGGATACCATATTTGGAGGACCATATGTTAGCGGTGAGACACGAAACGCCAAAAGAAATTACGTCCGGGAGGCTAAATACCCCCCTTTGGCAAGCTACATTATGGACAACAGCTCCCGGAGGACCCAAGTTCCACCCATTGTCTTCACCCAAGAGGACGCCGAGGGAGTTCACTACCCCCACTGCGATGCACTTGTTGTGAGAGCCGTCATAGCCTGAAATGGGCTCAAGCGAATGTTAGTTGACAACGGTAGCTCTGTTAACATTCTATTTAGGTCCGCCTTTGACAAGATGATATTGGATCATCAGTTGACAACCACCACAAGTACGGATTCACCAGAGATAGTATCACTCCAAGGGGAAAGATAACACTTGCAGTGGAAATGGGAGAGTCTCCCCAAACTACGATGAACTTCATGGAGTTTCTCATTGTTGACAGTCGATCGGCCTACCGTGGAGTATTAGGTAGGTGAGCCCTAAAAGAATTGGGAGCAGTCACCTCCATCCACCTATGCATGAAATTCTCGATGAAAAATGGGGTGGCAACGGTGAGAGGCGACCAAAGAAGATCGAGAGAGTGTTATCTAAGCTCCATCAAAAAGGTAGAGCCCCGGGACGTCCATGTAATCATAGCCGATATAGTCATGGCTGATGTCTCAGGTGATGCTCCCACTGAACCAGAAGTTATCGACATGATTGATGCACCACCCAATCCGGAGGTATTGGTCATTGATGAGATCGATCTCCGCATAATTGAACACAAACCTCAAGCATTCCCAGTTGAGGAACTTGAGAGCTTCTCGGTAGACCCCCGAGACCTATCCAAGGTGCTGAAAGTAGGCAAGAGCTTATCCAACATTTTGAAGGAAAAGATTAAGGATTTCCTAAGTAGGAACCTTGATATTTTTGCTTGGAGGCATGAGGACATGGTAGGCATAGACCCTAAGGTCAGTTGCCACCACCTAAAAGTCGATCCCAAGGTTGCCCCACACAGACAAAAAATGAGAGCCCTCAATCCTGAAAGGTACGAAACTCTGAAGGAAGAGATTCAGAAGCTCATCCAAAATGGCTTTATCAGGGAGGCTACCTATTTGAGGTGGGGTCTCCAACCCGATTTTAGTGAAGAAACACAACGGCAAGTGGAAGGTGTGCCTCGACTTCACCAACCTTAACAGAGCTTGCCCGAAAGATAGCTTTCCTCTCCCAAGGATTGACCAACT